CCCCAAAACCCCAAAACCCCAAAACCCCTTCAATTAAATATTGGGCATTTAAAGCAAGATGATATATTAAATTTGTATAAATATATTATTGGGTTTAATTTCTAGAAATGAGCCAACGATCATCCTCAGTTGTGCCATTAAATCAAAATTATAACCAAAGATCTAATCAATTAGGAATTCATCAAAATGGGAACATATTTGATGAATTTAATAGGATGGCTGAAAATATTATGAAAGACTTTGATATGCCTTGTAATTTTCTTATTTTAAGATAAATTATAGTAATGTCACATGAAGGGTTATTTGGAAGAGATTTATTTCAAGATGGCCCATTTTTTAATTAAAATAGGTAGGGAAATATTGATTCTATATTTTCTGATATGAGAAATAATATGATTCAATAAGCAAAACATTCAAGGTAAAAATTGTCAATTTTAAATATAATTTTAAGGTTCTCAGAGAGCGCTGGAGGTATTGTGAATCCCGGAGTTGGGCATTTTGTTTCTTAATCATATGTTAGCTAAACTAAATTTGACAATAATGGAAGGCCTATCTAAGAAAAGTACTAAAATAGAGTAGCTGGTGCACTCGGAAACGGCAATAGAATTATCGAGAGACAACAGATGTATGATAACGGTGGAACTGGTCTATAAAAAATTTCTCATGAAAGAATGCTAAATGACTAGGGAAGAAAGATTGTCAAAGAAAGAGTTAATGACTAAATGAATTCTTATGACTATTTTAAGAATATTACTGAGGACTAGACTCCTGAATTCGATCATAAATGGGAGGATACTTCAAAAAAACTAGGTTTCATAACTTCAACTTCCAATAATAGACTTGGTTATGGTTCTTCTGCAGAAAATACTGGTCTCTATAAAAGGATGAGAGAGACCCCATTGAATGCTATATCTTATGATGATAATAAAAGAGGAGTCTATGTCAATGACTATTTGAGGGATGAGAATATGCAAGTTAATATGAATAGAGAGAATAATTAAAGATCTTTTGATTAGGCACATACGCAACCATTTAATAGATCTGGTAATTATAATAACAGATAGATTCAATTGAATAATACACCTCTAGGCTTATAAAATTTCTAGCCATTAGCATTAACAGAGGGAAGTAACTAAACAACAGTTAATCAAAGATTGCAAGCTAACTCTAGACCACTGAATAACAATAATTTTAACAACACTTTAATGCAAAAGGGACCTGCAAGAGCTTATTGATTGTTCTAACTTTTAAGATTATTCTAGAATTATCTATAAAGTTTTATCTATAATTCTTCTAAACTTAATTTTATGATTAAAATTTTACATTATTTTGAGATTCGGGGTTTTGGGGTTTTGGGGTTTTGGGG